ATTCGATTCAGCGTCGTCGAATTACCATTATATCAAGTTTCTGGCCGGGTTGTCAAAAATTTGGCACTTTGCCTCTTATTGACTGGACTACGAGAAAAGAAAAGAAATATAATGATCGTAGGGAAATAAAAGGGGCAATAAGAGAAAAGAAATTTGAATTTCTCCTAGTCAGTTTTCCTGAACTATAACATTATATATATATATAGCGTATTGTGTGTTGCTCTCGTTTCGTCTAAAATTTAATCCAATTTAAGTTTCGAATTTCGGTCCAATCATCAAGAAGTGTTGATTTAACAATAAGCTGTAACCAAGCTTGAACGCGTAGTAGATGTTTCCCCATCGTATTAAATTTCAACACCTAGAATGTCGCAATGCGGTCCTTTTCACCTTATTCTTATAATATATAACATATGTGTATTTATTTAAACATTTCCCAGGACAAATGAAAGTACACGTATAGTTATATAGTATAATATATGCATTATAGTTACTTCGATTGTACGTTTTCCTAACTTATAGCAAATACGAGTATAATTAAGTACACAGTTTGAGAAATGTGGATGAATAGAAAGAAAATGGGAATGGGAATGGGAATGGAAGGTTTTCAATTACACGTACGTTTTTTTTTCTTTTTTTTTTTTTTAACGACCAATCCTACAGGTCGTCGTTTAGTCTTACATTAGAGATTGATCGATTAAAAATATAATAGGTGGAAAAAGAAATATATCAAATACAACAGTGTGAAGGATTAAAAAAAGATATCGATATTATCGGTAACGAGAATATAGCACGACATTTATAAATGAATATTATGCAAATAAATCTTCTAAATTATCACAAAGGAGATAGATCTTATTGTTTTCATTTTCTTTGTTTAACAATGAACAATGATTCTCCGACATATTAATTTTTCATATATACCACGTTGATTCTATAATCAAAAAACTATACAATTAACGATAATAATTAATGTGAATAAAATACGCTTAGTACAATTACAATTAGTACAAGCTAAAGATCATGGTGTAAAACATTACAAAATTAGAAATAAAATTGTGTTAAATTAGTTAACTTACCGGGTTGAGTTTCTTCGTTCCAATAGGAATCATCTAACGTGTAATCGGTGTCTGAAAAGAAAGAAATAAAATATAAGAATGAATAAACGTTCATTTTGGTTGTTTAGTTTAATATATTGTTCGTGAATCGTGTTAATAAATGTGTTTATCAATCAGGCATGCGTCAAGATAGTTGTTGTTTTATTATTTTTTAGGGTAAGGGTGGGGTGGTATCGACAGTTTTACAGATCAAAGATAATTTTGAAATGAGAGAGTGGTTTGAACAAAAATACGATTGGTTGGTTGGTTGGTTCGTCGTGAGAAAAATCAGCTGACACAACGATCTAATGTTAGGTGATGCAATCAGCCCGATCTAAATCGTGACGAGAGTCTCGATCTAAACGACGCAAGGTGTGTTTGTTTCCCTTTTATTCTTTTTTTTTCTTTCCTTTTCTTTTCTCCTTTCCCCTTTTTCTTTTTTTCTTTTCCCAAGGACCCTTACAACGCACTCATTTTACGCACCCTCGCGTCTCAACGCTTACACCCAATCAGCCAACAGTCACGGTTCGCCAACTTTTCCCTTTTTTTTTTTTTTTTT